TGACTGATAAAGAAAGCAACTCTGTATGTAGAAAAGGAGATATGTAAGAAAAATGTAAGGAACGGGAATATATTCTTGTTCAAGGTAAAAGAAAGTAATTTTGTCCCAAATGAGACTGACTGGAAAATTCTGAATGCAGAGAAAGGTGTAAAAGTGTTGTGAAGGGAAATCCTTGGAAAGGAATTTTAGATGTGGCCAAGACAGACTAAGATCGAAGTAAATGGATTTTAAAGTACAAGAGTATAAGATTAAAAGTCTACTTTCTGTTCAAAAGTTTCCTTGATTTGTTGGTCTGCTCTTGATAAGAGCAGCAGTTTTGTCCAAGAAGGAATCAGAGATGCGGGGGCAGCCGTAACCACGGAGATGGGGACCATCTGGGCAGAGCCATTGGCTGCTGGAACGTCGGCTCAACGGGCAGAACTGATGGCCCTGACCAAGGCGCTGACCATGGGAGAAGGTGAACGAATCAACATCTACACCCACAGCAGGTGCGCCTTCTCCACCGCTCACATCCACGGAGCCCTTTACAGAGAGAGAGGGCTTCTGGCAGCAGAGGGAAAGACTGTTAAAAACAAAACGGAGATTCTTGAACTCCTGAGGGCCCTCTGGCTGCCCAAGGCCCCAGCCATCATCCACTGTCTGGGACACCAGAGAGCAGACACACCAGTAGCCAGGGGAACCCGGCTAGCCGACTCAGAAGCTAAGGAGGCGGCCCTTACGGTGACCCAGGTTTTAACAACCACACTGCCTGATCCGGGGGCACCGACCCTGCCTGGCACCCCCAACTATGCTGACACTGACTTACAATGGATAAAACCCTTGCCTATGACCCAATGCTTGCGTGGCTGGTGGCGGGCCGCAGACTCCAGCATCATCCTGCCAGAGGAACTAGGACGGCGAGTCCTATCCAAAATGCATCGGAGCACTCACATGGGAACAAGGAAGATGGAAGACCTCATACGACATGCAAAGATCACTATTAAAGACTCTTGAGCAAAGAGCTGCCACGCATTCCAGTTAATTAATGTCACCGCCCATGGATCTAACCCGGGCACCTGGCTCCGGGGGGACCGCCCAGGAGCCTACTGGGAAGTGGACTTCACTGAGGTAAAGCCTGGACAATACGGGTACAAGTATTTACTAGTGTTTGTAGATACTTTTTCAGGATGGACAGAGGCATTTCCCACCAAACATGAAACAGCACAGACCGTGACCAAGAAACTGCTGGAAGACATCTTACCGAGGTATGGTTTTCCTGTTAGAATTGGGTCAGACAACGGCCCAGGATTCGTCTCTAAAGTAACACGGGGAGTGGCACTAGTACTTGGGGCAGATTGGAAATTACATTGTGCATATAGGCCCCAGAGCTCAGGACAGGTAGAGGATGAACAGAACATTAAAGGAGACCTTAACTAAATTAGCCCTGGAGACTGGCGGGGCCTGGGTGACTCTCCTCCCCTTTGCCCTATATAGGGTGAGGAACTCCCTATATAAGATGGGACTGACTCCCTACGAGATCATGTTCGGTCTTCCTCCACCTGTTATCCCCAATTTAAAACCTGAGGTGCTTGCTGAATTTGATGATCACCAACTCCTTTTCTCCCTCCAAATGTTACAAAGAACCCATGAGCAGGTGTGGCCTAAGCTGAGGGCCCTCTACGAGCCTGGGCCACCCCCGGGCCCCCATCCATACCGGCCAGGTGACTGGGTGTACGTGTGGAGATACCAACACCAGACACTTCAACCTCGCTGGAAGGGACCCTACATTGTGATCCTGACCACTCCCATGGCTCTCAAGGTCGACGGGATTACTCCCTGGGTCCACTACACCCACGTCCGGCCAGCTGACCCACACGCCGCCATTCTCAAGGATGGAAAGGCCAACCAGACAAGGACAATCCCCTAAAGCTAAGACTGTGCAGTTCTCACTTACCCCACTAATGTTGCTTATGCTCTGTCCTCTTTGTGCCAGAACCAATCCCCATTAACCATTTAAAAATGTGCACCCAATTCTGCCTTGCTTTTAAAGTCTTTTAAGGTCTAAAAAGATGGGAGCACCTTTAACTATAGAGAGGCTTTTGCAAGCAAGGGGGGCTATGTGCTGTCCCAAATGAGGAGTGTTGCTTCTTTACTGACCACTCAGGAATAGTCCGGGAATCTACGGCAAAAGTCAGAAAAGGTTTGGCTAGACATAAACGGGAGCGAGAACAGCAACAAGGTTGGTTTGAATCATGGTTTAATCATTCCCACTGGCTCACTCTGAGACCAACCTGGACCCATGATTGGGTCCTTCCTTAGGTTCCTCTGAGAGGGGAAAATGTGGAGGCCAAGAAAAATTAAGGCCATTCCACCTCAACTTTAGCCATTAGCACAAGTACAGCCATCTTAGGCCCCTGGGAATAAGAGCTGAACTTTACAGGAAAAACTGCGGAGTGTCCTAGGCAGGGAATCCCACATCAGATCTTAAGAAACTCCCCTACCCTTTCCCCCATATTGGAATGGAAAAAATTCCTCCACCCCTTCTAAAAATCCCCTAGACCAGCCCATAAAAACCCCAGCTGTAACCCACTTCGGGGTCCAAGCCCCTGCTCTGCTGTATGGAGTATATTTGGACCCAAGCTCAAGCTTGTAAATAAACCCTCGTGTACTTGCATCGGTTTTGGCTCCTTGGTGGTTTCTTGGATTCGCAATCTTGGGCACAACAGAGTGGGAAAATGCTGTGTTGTTTTGTTTTGTTTAAAAAATCTGTCTTTAAGTTGAAAAGAAAACCTCCTGTGAGGGAGATTTTGCAAAACAAAACTTACAAATAGTGTGCAATTTCCTCCACTGCCTAAGAATGTGAAACTCTATAAAATCAGGTTGGGGCCTGTTTTAATCTGTGAAGGTGGTTATTGTCACTATCACCAGCAATGCAAGCAGCAGCATGTTTTAATACTAGACTTCCAAGTAAAACCAACCGCTGGCATCCTCTAGCCCTTTGTAAAGCACCAGGTGCACAGATCTTTACCTGAATTCCTCTCCCTCCACCCCACCTCCTCATCTACATCTTTTAGAATCCACTGCTGGGGCTGCCAGAACTGGGGAGGGTCTGGAGACCTGGATACAAAGCCTGTCTCTGCCACTTCCTGTGGGACCCTGGGCAAGTCATTTTACCTCTCTGAGCTTCAGATATCCTTATCCATAAAGTAGAAATATTAATACAAAGCTCACAGGATTGTTGGTCAGAATAAATAAATCACATACAAGTTAGTGTCAATGAAGGGAATTAGGCCATTTGATGATATTTGAACCTACATCAAGCTCAGCACTTCCATGCTGCCTATTATCACCTCCAAGTCAGCCTGGCAACACCACTGGTTGGAATTGGCCAGCAGGGAGGCACAAGACATCTGACACCTGGCAACATGGACACTGTGTTCCTGCCATCTGATAGCTGCTTACGAAAACTAGGTCTTGGGATGCCTGGTGGCTCAGTGGTTGAGCGGCTGCCTTCAGCCCCAGGGCATGATCCTGGAGTCCTGGAATCCAGTCCCACATCAGGCTCCCTGCATGGAGGCTGCTTCTCTCTCTGCCTATGTCTCTGCCCCTCTCTCTCTCTGTCTCTCGTGAATAAATAAATAAGATCTTTTTTTTAAAAAAAAAAAGAAAGAAAACTAGGTCTTACTCTGCATATGGAAGCTTCTGTGGACCATAAGGACCCCAAAAGACAAGCCATGCAACAGGATCCACCCACAAGGTGTGGAAAAGATGGGCCAGGAGTTAAAAGATGCAGGCTCCTTTCTAGGAGAGCCTAAAATCACCCCACATATCCAACTCTGGATCCCTCCCTTGTGCACTCACTGTGGGAGGCAGATGGCTTCCTGAGCAGACTTTTGTTTTTTCAGCATCAGAGCTGATCAATCCAAATGACAGTAGTTACTCAAATTGGATGTGATATTAAGGTGATATTCAGCTCAAACTTTTCTTTGTAGAAAATGAACTCCAATGTTTACAAACTCTAAATAATGCAATAGGAATATACACATTCACCTAGAAAGCATTCTTAATCAAAACTGTTAAACCTGAATGTGGTCATAAGGAAACAGGCAAACCCAGAATGTGGAATAGATTCTGCTCTAGACCCTTTTTTAAGAAGTCTATGCCACGGGAAGAAAGAAGAGAAAAAAAGCCAATGGATTTTCTTAAGTAAAAGATACTAAAGAAATTAAAAAAAAGAAAGAAAGAAATATAACAATTAATTGTAATATGTGAACCTTGATTGATTAAAAGAACTATATAAAATTACACTCTGAAAATAGTTGGGGAAAATTTAAACAATTATATGCATATAATTATATGCAATTATGTGCAATTTAACAATTCATCCCATATATAATTTTTGTCTTCAGATTCCTGGTTTAATAAGGACTTGTTTGAGAAAAAAGGGTCCCAAACATCAGGCTGTTCACAAAAATAACCCACAGTATCAACTTCAGAAAACAAATATTAAGACTATTATTACACTAATTATTTTTCTAGAGGATGTATTTGACATGCCAACTCTCATTCACAAAAATACACTGTGGAAAAAGGCTGTGTTGTTTTGTTTTGTTTTGAACAGCCCCACACAGCATTCTTATGTGGGGTATAACACACATACCCCTAACTCAAAGCTGTTCTCAGGTGCTACTGAACTAATGTGATTGCCTTTGCAGTTAAGGAAGCAACTACTGAGCTCATGTATGAATGGAAAGAACTGTACTCCCTGCATAACAAGAGATTATTTTGGAGATGAGATATATGTGTGTGTGTGTGTGTGTGTGTGTGTGTGTGTCTATCTCATAAAATATATGAGACACAACTGTTAATTTTTTAGGTATAAACCTGATAATGTGATTATATATCAAAGGTCTTTATTCTTGGGGATGTCAAGTTATAACACTAAAAAAACAGAATGAGAAGTGAAGTATTGTGACATTTGCAATTTATTGTCAGTTTAGCAAAAAAAAAATGTATTTATATATAAAATGTTTTATTCACATGCACCTCCCACAAAGAGAGGAGAGAGAAAACAAATGTGGCAAGATATTAACAATTATTAATCTAGGTGAAAGGTATACAAGTGTTCATTGTACCAATCTTTCAACTTCTCTGTCGGTTTGCAACCCTTCATACCAAAATGTTGGAGAAATGGTATCTGTATGCTGCTCTTAAAATATGATACGAAGATAAGTGTTGTCTTCGCATTTCATTTTCAGATGAGCATATTATAGGCTACATTTGCATCCTGTATAACCGTTCCTTTTAGAACATCTATTTTGTTTTGCCCTGTTGACTCCCATAAGGAGCATTCACAGGATAGCTTTATAAGCAACCATGGCCAAGTTTAACTTGAGGAACTGTCTGTGTAGATTCCTTTGTAAGCGTGTTAATAAGGACTTTTATGGCTGTGGATTTCTGGTTTCTCCTGATGTGCCCCTTTACTTTTCCTCTTGTCAGCCTGTTTCTTGTGGCAAATGTTGCCTTTGGTGTTTTTCTTGGCCGCTTGTTCTTTCATCCACTGCTTAATAACATGACTGTGCGGGCTGACACAGAGTCTTCTGCGCCTGACGTGAAGGCTGTGGAGGAGGGAAGATGGACAAATCAGTGGCAGAAAATCCAAGGAAAAACTCCGTGACTCAGGCAGTTGCCACGTTTAGTTTCAAGACCGCCTCCTACAGCCGTGGACCACCAGCTGGAGTCTTCGCTCCCCCACAGCTCCTGGGATGGCAGCTTGGGTGGGGGGGATGAGGGAAAGGAGGAGGAGGAGGAAGCAAAGAGTGAGGGAAAGGAGAGAAGCCAAGTGAATACAACAGTCCTTCCTGACCAGGAGCTTCATCCACAAAAGCAGTTCACGCCTCATGGCCCACCTGGAAGGTCTACTCTAAAGTTTTTCTAGATTCCCTCAGCTACATGCCCTGCTTTCACTTGCAGTCTGTCAGCATTCCCTCTCTTTTGGTTCGTAGCTTATGCTGTCTTTTGTATGAATTTTCATTCAAAATTTCTCCTTGTCCTGTGATGCTATGCCCCTTGAGGGAGGGATAGTCTGGAATTGTCCTGAAAAGGCCTGGCTTGCTGTAGGAATTCAGTAATGAGGTACAGATATGAAGTGAAGATTGTTCAAAATAGAAACAGTCTGGGGGCACCTGGGTGGCTCAGGTGGTGAAGCACCTGCCTTCGGCTTGAGTGGTGGTCCGAGGTCCTGGGATCCAGCCCCGCACTGGACTTTCTCCCTCTCTCTTTGCCCCCTGCCCCCCTCCTCATACTTTCTATCTCAAATAAAGAAAGATAAAATCTTGGGGCACCTGGGTAAAATCTTAAAAAAAAAAAAAAGAAAGAAAGAAAGAAAAAGAAAAAGAAAGCCTGGCTTTTTAAAAAATGAAACAACTAAAATATTCTAGGTGTTTGATAACATTGCAACATACTACAGGTTCATACCCCATCTCCAATGTTTCCATGTTTTAAATTTTGACCTCGGGGTAGGAGAACCATAAAGCAGCATTCACGATTTCTAGTAACTGAAAGAGCTTTTTTACCAAAAATATTGTGACTTTTAATTTGCCCTCAGGTGCCATCTAGCTCTTCTTAAATCTCGGGGATCCTGCAGGCTCTGCGTAGACAACAGTTCTGTGTGTGGGGAAAATGAGTCCCCTGGCCCCCTTCCGGGGGGACAGAGAGCAGGTTGCTGGTTTCTCCAGGTGAGCCAAGAGGAATAGCAGCCAGCGTGGGGACTCCTGCAATGAAAGCAAAAGCTGGCAAAGGCCTGTGTCATAAGCATCATAAAGCCAGCATGTGGAATATTAATTTGAAAGCAGTGAGGCTTCGTGATAGGAGGACAATCCGTTCTCAGCCTGTATTACACCCAGAGGTCTTCTAAAGGAAAGCTCCCTGTCACTGTGGCCAGTTGGTTTGCTTTGGCCAGTACAGGAGAGAACCTGCTGTAGGACTCTGAAGGGGAAGAAACAGAAAAGAGTTGAAGCTCCTCTCCTTCCCAAAGGACTCAAACTCTCTCCTTCCCCTGTGGTGTCAGCAGGCATCCAAGCAGACACCAGTGGCAAAGGCTCCACTGACATCCAGGTAGGCCCACAAGGCTCACAGGAGGGAACTAGCCCTCAACTCTCGTTCTGTGAGGAGTGAGTGGGGAGCTTCAGGGAGGGCACTGGTGCAGGAGCTGAAGGTGAGCCCCCAGTGGGGCAGGGCGGACAGAGGACCCAGGAGGTGCACAGCCCTAGGGATGCAGCCTAGTGGGGCCTTGACTTCTCAATGTAATACAAGGGGAAAATATCAGCTACCAGAACACAGCCTCCAAATCCAAGATGCTGTGATGTTTTAAAATCTTTTTTTTTAAAGATTTTTATTTATTTATTCATGAGAGACACATAGAGAGAAGCAGAAACACAGGCAGAGGGAGAAGCAGGCTCCATGCAAGGAGCCCGACGTGGGACTCGATCCCGGGTCTCCAGGATCACACCCTGGGCTGAAGGCGGTACTAAACTGCTAAGCCACCCGGGCTGCCCGATGTTTTAAAATCTTAAAGTTTAAAGGCTACTTAAGCCTGCACTGGTAACCCCTGTGCATTCTCTCATCATAATAAAAGGAGATGAGGTGGGTGCCTGGGTGGCTCAGTCAGTTAAACGTCTGCCTTGGGATCAGGTCATGATTGCAGGGTCCTGGGATCGAGTCCTGCATCTGTGTCACTCTCCCCTGCTCTCTCCCTCTCCCCTGCTCCTGTACTCTCTCTCTCTCTCTCTCTCTCGAATAAATAAATAAAGTCTTAAAAAGAGAGATGAGATGAGATAATGTTAGACAAGGGGTAGCCTATTCCACACTCTCTCCTCTCCCCCCCTCCCCCCCCCTCCTCCCTCCTATTCTGCAGGGCCCTGACTCAGCCCGTTGTGTATTTCTTGGTGGAGAGTTCAGGCTCTAAGAAACCATAAGGTTGATCCTGATTCTTTTGCCCAAAAGAAAGAAGCTAGAGAGGGTCCGACAGACCTACAGGGGTGGCCCTGCCACCTGTAACTGTTCCCTTTACCTGATTTCATTGCCCCTTCCCCTAAGCACAACAGTCCCGTAACAATCACTTTTGAAAAAATGCTCAAGCTTCCCAGATAACTTTATTTAATAACTCCAAGTTTTCGTCCCAACAGATATCTGTGTGCTTCCAAAACCTCAGCCCTCTGCCCAAGATAAACAACTTTGTACTGTGTTTATGCCAAGAAACAGCCAGAAGCTCTTTAATGAAGCTGCTGTGGATGGGTTTAAACAAGCAAACCCTCCTCTCAGAGAAAAGTTACAATGATCATCTACAGGGTGTGAAACAACAGACCTGTTCTAGGCAGGAAAGGAAAAAGAAAGAAATCTAGTGAGTTCACTAGAAACTCATTTACATTTGTTACTTGTGATTCATAACACATGCTTTGGGGAGTTATATTGCCAACACTTGCAGTGTTTTCTGCATTTAAAATATTTGTCTCAGGATCCCTGGGTGGTGCAGTGGTTTAGCGCCTGCCTTTGGCCCAGGGCGCGATCCTGGAGACCCGGGATCGAATCCCACGTCGGGCTCCCGGTGCGTGGAGCCTGCTTCTCCCTCTGCCTATGTCTCTGCCTCTCTCTCTCTCTCTGTGTGACTATCATAAATTTAAAAAAAAATAAAATAAAATATTTGTCTCGGGCAGCCCGGGTGGCTCAGCGGCTCAGCGGTTTAGTGCCGCTTTTGGCCCAGGATGTGATCCTGGAGACCCGGGATCAAGTCCCACGTCAGGCTCCCTGCATGGAGCCTGCTTCTCCCTTGGCCTGTGTCTCTGCCTTTCTCTATGTGTGTCTCTCATGAAAAAATAAAATTTAAAAAGTAAAATAAAATATTTGTCTCAAACTTACGTACTCAAAGTTAAGGAACCACATTTTAGGGATCCCTGGGTGGCGCAGCGGTTTGGCGCCTGCCTTTGGCCCAGGGTGTGATCCTGGAGTCCTGGGATCAAGTCCCATGTCGGGCTCCCTGTGTGGAGCCTGCTTCTCCCTTTGCCTGTGTTCCTCTCTCTCTCTCTCTCTCTCTCTGTGTGTGTGTCTCTCATGAATAAATGAATAAAATCTTAAAAAAAAATACTACCTGGTCAAATTTCACCTTACTTGAGATGAGGTCATAACTAGTCTATTTTTCAGCTGTCTTATAGCACAGCAGGCCAATTTACAAACCTGTACTTCTCTTTAATTAAAATCAAGTGCTTTTTAAAATGAAAAGTCATGTTTTTTAAATCATATTTTCCCTTATCAAAATGAGAACTTACATCACTTCTGTTTCTATATCTTTTTAGATCTCTCATACTTTCTTATCTCCAAATTTTTTTTCCTGAAAATCCTGTTACCAATGGCATCTCCTACTAATTCCCATGAACTACTCTTACTCTTATATACAGAAATTTCTTCTGCTTCTTTCCCCATGCTTTCCAGGGAGTCCCATGGGATTCCTTATGGAGGCTTCCATATTCTGAGGTGACGTATGTCAATGAGGCAGAAGTGACGGTTGAGAATTTGGTATTTCTGAGAGTAGCCAGAAAGGCAGGTGGGTAGATCTGACTCAAATATTGAAATGTTTTCAATTTTCCAGAGTACTGTCTATCCATGAACTGCCTACGGATTTTTCACTCTCCAACTATTACCAGCACAATTTATTCAGATTAAATAAAAGTCTGTTAGAATCTTGGCCATGTACTAAAGGAGTTTTTGAAAGAAGTTGGGAACTTGGAGCACCCCTCATTAGGTACCTCACTAGTAAGTTTTCCCTGTATTGCTTTAGGAAACACTGGTTCCCAGTGACTAAACCATGGAAGGGAATGGATCTAGTGTGGTGACAGGATCTGAGGAGAAGCTGAGAGTCCTCAATCCTTACCCTCCTGCCACATAGACACTCATGCTCATTAGAAGCTCGAGCCAGAATTATCTTTCTCTGCACATCTAACCTCAAGTGTGATTATTTTTAAAAGAGAGAGCACGGGCAGGGGATCAGGGAGCAGAGAGGGAGGGAGAGAGAATCTCAAGCAGGCTCCACGCTGATGTGGGGCTTGATCTCATGACTCTGAGATCATGACCTGAGTCAAAATCTAGAGTCAGACGCTTAACCAACTGAGCCATCCAGGTACTTCCCTCCTCAGTGTGATTTTTTAAACTATATCGTATCTAAGATCCTTTTGGAGCTTACAAAATCTATGAACCTTCGCTCCAAAAAATGCTCATACAATCAGACCCACAAATTTCAGGAAAAACAGCCCCCTGACCTGAAGGAAATCTGTCAACGGTTGTCTTACAAACTCTTCCTCTGAATTTGTAAGAATCTTGTCTTGGAGCAGTGTGGCTCAGAGTTGGGTAATAGACCGATCCCTCTGAAAGAGGAAAAAATGTATCTTAAATCTCAGAGAATGGTCTGCAGGACCCAGCTGAATAGAGTTGCCTGGAGAGTCTAGGAGGGCAGTCTATTTTGTTGCTGCTGCATACCCAACACAAGCTGAGGATAGAATGGTGCTTGGTACTTAAACATTAATCAATAACTATTTGTTGAATTCATTGAATAAATAAAGAGGCTTCTCAGTGACTCAGGAACTCAGGCATAAGCAATGGGCTTATCAGCAGCCCAGAGAAGGGGATACCAAATGGCTCATTAGCATCCCCTGGGGCCATAAGTGGTGTTAAAACCAGTCCACCAGGGAGATGCCTAATACAGTGTCCTTATGACTTGAATGTGCCAGACACATGAAGTTTGGGGAGAATACTTTATGGTTGGTCCCATCATCACTTTTGAGAGAGCTCTGAAGTATATACAGTGTATGGTGTTCTGAACAAAGAGACCTTGTTCACATCCCATCTCTGCCATTCTCTAGCTACATGTCACCAGGTTAACTCTGTATGCCTTAGGCACAGCTTTACCTTGTGTGACATGGAGATAATTTATGCCTTCCTCACAGCATTGTTGTCAGAATCCAGATTTGCTAAATACCAATGCATTTCAGAAGTTAGTTTCCATGGGGACATGAAGAACATAGAAATCTGAAATTTTTAATAAGTGAGCCAGAGGTAAGCGTGGAAGGGTTCACCACGAGCCAACAACCCAGAATCAAGAGCAAAGATGGGCATTTGTGCTTGATTGCATGTGACAGGTACAGACATCTCTATACTTCTGTTTGAACCTTGTATACAGTCCTGATGAATTCAGAGAGTAAAAAATGACAGCAACCCATAAACTTGCCTGGAAAAAGCTATAGTTAAAGCCACAAAACAGAACAGAGACACTTGTTTTTATTTTTGTTTTGTTTTTCACTCAGAATGCCCCTACTTTTGCTTAGGAAAGTCATACACATTGTCCAATAGACTGAAGGTATTTATCCTGAATCACAGCACTGCTGTGCAGGGTGGCAGAGGCTAGCGTGGGGCTCTGCACATGCCAGTCCTGAGAGACTGTGTGCTTACTCCAAGGAGCCTGGGGCCAGAAAGGTGGAATATTTGCTCTCCCCTCCCTTGTTTGACTGATTATTTGTATGCTGCATACGAGGCAAAGACTTCCCAATCTATTGCTCGCAGGCCAAGAAATGATCACTGGACGAGTTTAGACCTCCCTGCTGAAGAGCACTCACATGACAGCAGCCAAGTCACAATCCCCATCAGCTCTCTGGATGCGACATATATTCACTCTCTCCAGAAGCCTTCTGGAGATATGATGTGAAACCTCAGTGCAACAGCTAGAGGCAATGGGAAGTATAGCTAAAAGAAGAAAAGAAAGAAAATGTTACATCTTACAATTCATAGAACAATGGCCTAGAAACTAAAAGTAGAAATAATCCAGGGCACCTGGGTGGCTCAGTCGGTTAAGCACCTGCCTTCCACTCAGGTTATGGTCTCAGAGTCCTGGGATTGAGCCCCACATGGGGCTCCCTGTTCAGCAGGAGTCTACTTCTCCCTCTTCCTCTGCCCTGCTATGTCGCTTATGCTCTCTCTCTTTCTCAAATAAATTAATAAAATCTTTTTTAAAAAAACCCAATAATCCAATTAAAAAATGGGCCGAGAACATGAACAGACATTTCTCCAGAGAAGACATCTAGATGGCCAACAGACATATGAAAAGATGCTCATCATCACCCATAATCAGGGAAATGCAAATCAAAACTACAATGAGATATCACCTCATGCCTGTCAGAATGGCTAAAATCAAAAACACAAGAAACAACAAGGGTTGGTGAGAACGTGGAGAAAAAGGAACCCTTCTGCACTGTTGGTGCAAATGCAAACTGGTGCAGCCACTGTGGAGAACAGTATGGAGGTTCCTCCATAAACAGAACTACCTTATAATCCAGTAATCACACTACTGGATATTTATCCCCAAAATACAAAAACACTTAATTCAAAGGGATACATACATGCACCCCTATGTTTATAACAGCATTATTCATAATAGCCAAATTATGGAAGCAGCCTAAGTGTCCATCATTTCTTTCTTTCTTTCTTTCTTTCTTTCTTTCTTTCTTCTATCTATCTATCTTCTATCTATCTATCTATCTATCTATCATATATATTCCACTATATATATAGATATAGGTATATAGATCTATCTCATATATACATATATATAGTGGAATATTACTCAGTCATCAAAAAGAAAGAAATCTTGCCACTTGCAACAACATGGATAGAGCCAGAGAGTATGATGCTAGGTGAAATAAGTCAGAGAAAAAAAATACCATATGATTTCACTCATATGTGGAATTTAAGAAACAAAACAAATAAGCAAAGATAGAGAAGAAAGAAAGAAAGAAAGAAGAAAGAAAGAGAGAGAGAAAGAAAGAAAGAAAGAAAAAGAAAGAAAGAAAGAAAGAAAGAAAGAAAGAAAGAAAGAAAGAAAGAGAAAGGGAGAGAAACAAACCGATAGATTCTTTTTTTTTTTTAAGCCGATAGATTCTTGACTCTAGAGAACAAATTGATGGTTACCAGGTGGGTGGGGGATGGGTGAAACAGATGATGAGGATGAAGGAGGGCACTTGTCCTAAAGAACACGGAGTGATATATGGAACTGCTGAGTCACTATACTGTACACCTGAAACTAATGTAACATTGTATGTTAACTACGCTAGAATTTTAAAACAAAAACAAACAAATAATGGCCTGGCTTTCTTCTTTTTTTATTTTATTTAAATTCAATTAAATAAAGGCAAAAACACAACACCACTGAAGAGATGAAAAACAGCTCCAGACAACAATGCTATTGGGTTGAAGATTGACTTGATTAGAGAAGAAAGTAGTGAGATTGACAGAGTGTCACACATAGTTTAGAAGAGGACCACATGGGCCCCTGGAGCAGGGAAGGATTTGGATGAATCTTTGAGGATTTGGAGGAGTGTAAAAAATTGAAGACAACTTGTTGAGACTAAAGGAAGTGGATGGTTAAGAATTCTAAGACAGTAGGGGTGCCCGGCTGACTCAGTCCTGGCATCGAGCCCCACATCAGGCTCTCTGCTCAGTGGGGAGTCTGCTTCTCCCTCTCCCTCTGCTGCTCACTCCCAGCTCCTCATGCTCTCTCTCTCTCTCAAATAAATAAATAAAATCTTTTTTAAAAATTCTGAGACAGGAAAGCCCAAGATGCATTGAGGGTATGGAGAAAAATCGACCACTTTGTCTGAACTGAGTAGTTAGGAAGGTGAGTGGTGGGAAATAATGGTTCAAAAGATAGGCTAAGGTCAACACCACTGAGGCCCTAAATGTAAATCTAAGGTTTAGCTTTTATGAAGCAGGGACCATTAAAGATTTGGGAAAGGAGAAGCATTTTAGGAAAATCCATCTTGCAATGATAAGCAAGATTCATTAAGCTGGGGAGTGCCTGGAGAAGTAGGTCAAGCTAGGAGGAACTTAGGTTCCCCAGATGTAAGGAAGGCAATACAAATATGAAAGGAAATCCAACCCCCTACTAAAACATGTATCTGCAGACTCCTCTGTGCCTCATGCCCACAATATTCTCTTATGCTTCCCATTCCACCAAGTGGGTAGCAAATTTTAAAAATATTTTTTAGAAATTACAGTCAATAGTGGGTGCAGGTGGCAGCCTCATAATAACAAAAGTTAGCCACTGAATGAGGTGCTCAAAGAAATGTTTAGATTAAAAAAAAAAAAGAAATGTTTAGATCCCTCTATCATGTCAGTTCTAAGCAAAACCTGCTCTTAGGACAGGGGAAGATCTCTATCCATGCTTTGTCCACATGGACACATCAGCTCACTCACAACTATGGAGTAGAGGAGAAACTGAATATGAAACTAAGAATGTTTATGTCACTCAAAAAAAAAAAAAGGATGTTAATGTGTCTCACTCTTGGAGGATCAAAACTTTCCAATATTATTCATTTATTCACTTATACATTCAATTGTTTAACAACATTTATTGAGCACTTAAAATGTTCTAGGGCAGCCCGGGTGGCTCCGCAGTTTGGCACTGCCTTCAGCCCAGGGTGTGATCCCGGAGACACAGGATCGAGTCCCACGACAGGTTCCCTGCACAGAGCCTGCTTCTCCCTCTGCTTGTGTCTCTGTCTCTCCCTCTCTGTGTGTCTCTCATAAATAAATAAAATCCTAAAAAAAAATGTTCTAGGCACAATGCGGGGGGGATACACAAGTCCATAGAACAGTATGTCCCTGTCCTCAAGAGGCTACAGTAGAGGAGGCACATCTGGAACTCAATGCTGAGGCTATAACCCTCGTGACCTCCTACATTGTGCTTCTGGAATTCCATCCTTCCAAAAGGCTCCCTCAAGTCATAACGACAGGTGCACAGCTGGTCACAACAGCAGAACATTCCAGCTCACCTAAATGTCTACCAATAGTTAAGTAATAGTACATCCAAATGGAATAAAGGATGAGATATATCTGTATATGTACCCTAAGACAGATGAATGTCCATAACTGATCATTAAGTGAGAAAAGCAAGTTTCAGTACAAGAATGATCCCATTTTTATAAAAAGAATGTGACACATAGAGGGAAAATTATAGAAATAAATATGCCCAAATTTATAAGTAAAGACTACTTCTAGAGAGGTGGCAAATTTTCAACAAGCATCGATATTTCTATTTTTTTAAACCTCACCTGATTGAGAGAGGGAGTGGAACACTCCCGTAGAAGGAACTGTCTCCAGAATATGGGGAGAAGAGTATGCTTTTCTTGGTTGTACATCTCACAGAGTCCGAGTCCTAGACCAGTATACTCCTGTCAACGATGATGAAAGAACCTCTGTGCTGACTTCCAGTCATCTCCAGAGCCTTGGGAAAATGCCTTGCCCCTAGTTTCAGAACCTCATGAAGGATCTGTATAAAACTAGCTGGCGCTCTTTCTCTCCAGAAAGAGAGACTTTTACCTTCTTCTCCTGTCCCACCTGTCCTGAATAGTCCAATGCTGCCATATTTAGAATAGAATCTCAGCTTGAGATACAGATCAGTAACAACTTACCATCAGCCCAATACATATATTTTTAATTCTTGGAAAATTAGATTATACATACAATTCCCATATGTGTGTGTATATTTACATAAATCCATTTGCAAAAATGAGTGTCTTCAATAACCTTTATTTTTAAAAAATTTTAAAGATTAATTTATTTGAGAGAGTGCGTGTGCGTGCGCACACACTCACAGACACGTCTAAGCAGGAGAGGCAGAGGGAAAAGGAGCAAAGCAGATTCCACACTGAGCACGGAACCTGACTTGGGGCTTGATCCCAGGACCCTGAAATCATGACCTGAACTGAAACCAAGTGTCTGATACTCAACCAACTGAGACACTCAGACGGCTCTCAATAATTTTTAAACCACTAATTTGAATTACTGAAGTTGAAATATATCCACATAAGTGATAGAGTGTTAATGGTTGTGCTCAGCCTCACTTCTGTTCTAATTTAGCTGTCATGCAATTCTGCAGCAGCCCAAACAAGGAAAGTGTTTACCTTTCCCAGTGGAAGCTACGTCATGCCATAAGAATCTACCTCTTTCCTCTCAACCTAGACCCAGTAAGGGGGTTTTCATTTTGTTATGCATATAAGGAGTGTGCAGAGAGGAATACCCAAGCACCAACCAATCAGATTCACTGGAATAAGAAAAGCAAACATTTACTGAGTGTCCACTCTGTGCCAAGTCCTGAACTTTGCATTGGAAATGTTGAGATAAATAAGGCACAGTTTCTGCTGTTGTGATATTTAATAGTCCAGTGGGAGGCAGGGAGGTAAATAATCACAATACAGCAAAACAAATGATAACAGATTGATGTTCAAAGCAGACTGGGGTTACAAGTGAAAAAAGCAGATTCAAAAGGCCACATATTGTATGGTTCCATTTATATGAAATGTCTGGGACAGGCAAATCTATATATAGAGAAAGTAGATTAGTTGTTGCTAGGGGTCGGGGTTGGTGGGAATGGGGAGTGACTGCTAACAGGTACATGGTCTCTTTTGGGGTTAATGAAACATGTTGGAACTGGATAGTAGTGATGGTTGTACAAATATGTGAATATACTAAAAAACCACTAAATTGTACACTTTATTTTTTTAAGATTGTATTTATTTGAGAGAGAGAGAGTGAGAGAAAGCAAGAGCATGAGCAGGGGGAGAGGGAGAAGCAGGGTCTCCACTGAAAAGGTAGCCTGATGTGGGGCTTAATCCCAGGACTCCAGAATCATGCCCGGAGCTGAACGCAGACACTCAACTGATTGAGCCACCCAGGTGCCCTGAACTGTA